CTCTAGAATTTCTTCTGCCAGCCTTGACAGTCGATCACTGCAACGGTTCATGGATAGCTCAAATTTGAGGTTATCAAGTTCTCGAATGTAGAGATCAATAGCCATCCACTTAGATAAAAGTGAGACATCTTTTGTGACCTGACAATAAAAAGAGTGAGCAGATCAGTTGTCATCCTCCTAAACGAAAAATAACATAACACTACACAAACAATTATAAAAGAATAAATTGGGCTACCTTACAAAATTTTCATAGGAATGACGTGGTTATTGACAGAATAGACTCGTCTTGACTTCAAAGGAACAAATAATACAAGTTGGAAAAAATTTACAAATCAGAAAACATTCGGAACTAGAATTACCTTTGCTGTTACATTGGGATTTCCATCTCTGTCACCCCCCATCCAAGACCCAAATTTGATAGGTGTACAAGTTAATGGAAGTGGTTTTCCGGTATGCTGACAAATATATCAGAGAAAGAAAATCTTGAGATAAAATTCAGAAAGACAGAAGAGAGTGTATGCACAAAAAGAAACTAGAAAAGAAATTGAAGACGAACCTTCTTCAAAGCATTGCTGACTCGACGTAGATAATGAGGTACAGCTTTCCAAAGGGATTGCTCCACAATGTTCAAACCTGCGGTATGATGTATGCAACTCTTTCTGTTAAGAACCAAAGAACTTGAATACCATTAGGTAGTAGATACAAATCTAATATTCAACTATTTTACCTGCCCTAGCTTCATCAACCGGCGTAGGTTTATGGCGCCTAAGCTCATCCGTTTGCCATATTGAAGTTATTTCTCTTACCTTGAAAAGCAAGATACATTAGCCAAACGGAAAATTAGAAATATGACATTTCTTTGTCTTTTAGAATAAAGGAATTAGGCTGGAAAAACAATACCAGATCTTCAATCAGCATTTCTTTGTCTTCATCGCCAATATCAGGTCGGTGCTTGTAGTCTAAAAGATGCTGCAGGAAAATATATATCATAAATCAAAATAAATGTTCAACATGTTTAAGATTAATGAAAAGCCGCAAACAACTTACAGCAATTCTTATATGTTTGTATTGTAAGGTGCGACGATTAATTTGTGTAGGATGTGCGGTAAGAACAATTTCAACCTCCTGCAGCAAGAAAATGTTTGAGATTGAGAATAAATAGACTGATAACTCTTTACCACAAAAACATTTAAAATGCACACGCAAGGAAGATTAATACAGGACTATGCCTTAATCGAGCGAGTTCAACGTATACTCAGAGACCCAATTGAGCAATATATACTCTTTACTTCTCAACCAAGGCGTACAAACCGAGATGAAAAGAAGCTAGAAGCAAAGGAAACAAGAAGAAACCTGCTTGCAAACAGTATTATAAAGGTCGTCTGGGGAAACACCGCTATGAACAAGCTGATTAAAAACATCGTCACAAGATTTCGATAGAGATGCCTCATTCGAGTCATTTCGCTGCTTGCGAACCCTACACAAAGAAACAAAATTTCAATACTAATAACCATAAAGCTTATAAAACTCAAATATACAAGAAATTTAAATAGTTGTCTTTTCTCCAAGTCAACATTCTCTTAATTTTCCTATTTCATTGCCACAACTGGAAAAGAATGAAACTTGCATGTAGTTATAAGTAACTAGGCTACTCTCTGTATTGTTATATGGTTATACGGTGGAACCTCAACTTTCTAAACAAAACCGCGGATTTCGAGTAGGCGAAGAGATTACCTGTGATGGGTTTCGGCAATGCTCATCAAATTAAGGTAGTGGCTGAAAGTACGAGCGAGGATCAAGGCCTCCTCCAAGCTCATCTTTGATATTTCCGACGCCAGTTGCTTCTCCAGCACCTCCGCAACGTCGTCTATCCCCGCATTCCTCATAGTACAAGCACTCTGAAAACACGCACGCACACATTCAAAAAAGTAAAAAAAGCCCGATTTAAGCCTCTGTTTGGTTGCTAAGAAAAGCCAGGAAATGGAAGGAAAGTTGTCGAAACACAATACTCTCATCGCCATTTTTTGTTTTCTTTAGTTTCTTCTGTTTTTCTCGGCAACCAAACAAGGGTTAGGAAGTTTCGAAATGCAAAGGGAAGGAGAGAGACAGAGAGTGTGAATTACCTGAGCGAGGATTCGGGTCCTTTCGACTTTCTCCATGATTTGGCTTGGGACCTCTCGCTGCAACACCTCCTGCAGAAGGCTGCCGAGCATTCTGCAGTCGTCTTCGAAGCTCTGGAACGAGATTTCCTCCGCTATGTCGTCCGTCGTGTCCGTCATTGTTGAAGGGGATGGAGTTCAACAGAGAGAATGGGATGGTGGAGTTCTAGAGAGAGAAAGTGTGGTTCTATAAGTGTATGAGAGTGTTTCTGTGTGTGTGTTTTAGAGAGAGAAAGTGGAAGCGGGAGAGGCAGAGGAGGAGGAGGAGGAGGAGGAGGAGGAGAGGATGATGGTAATGGTGGAAGTAGTAGTGGTGGCAGGAAAACAGAGAGAGGGAGGGACAGAGTCTCTGCTTACGGATACTCTGGGGTGAAATTCGGACACACTTTTACCGAATGGAATGCCAAGGCTTGCTCCCGAGTGGCACTCTCCTCGTATTTTAAGGACAGCTCTGTGGCTCCGTGCCCACCTAATTCGGGAGATATTTTTATTTTTATTTTCTATAGAACCAATTATTTACATCAAGTCATTTATAAAACAAAATTAATAACTATAATTTATAAAATTTGATCTATATAATTAGTCTCCTTCGCATTACATTAGATCACTAGACTTAAGAATAAGTGACTGGACAAAATCTAGTTTTATTCATAAAATGAATAAATAATTCAACAAATAAATACAGTAAATAAATATAATAAAAAACTGGTGGGATCATACCGGTATATTCCTAGCACAGATCTTATCCTGATCAACAAGTTTGAGAGATAATTGAAAGGAAAAGAATCTTTCTTTTTTGTTTTCTACTTAAAAGATAGTAGCTTACAAATTAGTAATGAAAAACGAAAAATTTTAAAAAGAAATGGTGTATTTAGAGATGGAAGGTTTTTATTTTTATTGTTTGTTGTTTATTGTCACCTATATTCAACTCTAATTTACACTAAAATTAATATGTTAAACTAAAATATTTATGTAGTTGAAAATATCAATGTGTAAATTTATAAAAATATAGATGTTGATATCAATACTGGTTGTTTTCGACAAATTATGAAAATTTGCAATGAGGCAATATATCAACTCATTCAGATTTAGTAGAAACTAAAGAAAATTTTCTAAAATAAAATTTTAAAAGTTCGAAATCTGTAATGAGTTTACCAAAATTTCTGTTGTGAATTGATAAATATCATCAATGTTCCCTAATTTTTCCATATCTCATCAAATAAGATAAAGTTTACATTCCACCTTTTATTTCTGTATTGATCTTTAATCATTAAAATATTTCAACAAAAGAAATGATAATTTCGTAAGTATTTTAAACATTGATTGTGACTTTTACTTTTTTTTTTATCACAAATATTGTTTGTGACTTGAGTGTGTGACAAAGTAGGTTAAAAGAGGACGCGAAGGGCTAGTCCTCGTGATATATTTGGTCAATAATGCACTTGCATAGTTGCATTCAACTGCCAAAAACAAAAAAAATGTGATCAACTTTTTAGATATTTACTTTTGGATGCAGCCACTTGGCAAAATTTTGCTTCATCTACCATTCTCGATCAAAGCTGAAGACAGAGAAGCTCAGACATCTCCAAATCACATTTGTTTATCGTTTATCGTATATTATGCAATAAAAAATTATTATAAATTTTTTTATTTAAAATGAAATATAAACAGTACTTAACAAAAATTGATCGTATAATATACGATGAACATATATGATTGAAGATTTCTAAAATCTTCACAAAAAGAGCCCGAGAAGGATCCCCATTCAAAGCTGAATACCCGCAGGAAGAAAGCGACTGTCTCTGACAGCTATTTGGACGGGCATTGTTTTTCCTTCTTTTGGGTAAATTGGGGGTACAGGCCCAACAAGCAAAAAGTACTTGACCATGCTCTTTTTAGTAATTTGGTCTTCTTCAACCACTAGGTAAGTTGATCCAGGTTTGCCAAACCCATTAGTTAATTAGTCAACAAGTCTCAGTGCGAAGCACGACAACTGATAAGTCATACCGTTATGCACTACTGTTAATTTACGTGTTAGGATAAGAATTAATATTTAACATCAATAACATCAAGAACACTATTCTAAAAACATATGTAAAATATTTGAACTTCATAAATACATTAAAAAAATGAATACGCATGTAGCATGTCACGGATCATGAATTATTTTATTATACATTAAACATTATTTAGATCAAGCCATACAACGAGCTTGGTACAATTAAGTATGAAAATGAAATCTTCATTTTTCTTACAAATAAAAAAAAAAGACCGAATGCTAATTTTCTCGAACAATTTTCTAAAAATGAAATTAAACTTTGTTAGTGAGGTTGGGTAAGTCCAAAAGCATTTTTGCGTGTAGCACAAGCATGACGAAATGCACAATAAATACTTATTTTTTGTTGTTGTTATGGACTAACTGCGTATTTAAATCCTAAACCCTAAAGTTTCAACAAAAAGAGATTCAACGTCAATCAATCGGTCAACTCCCAGCATCCGTGGCGGGAGAGAATGGTCATTTTCGAATCTCTTTCATGAAGGCCACCAAATTAAGTGATCTATATATTTAAAATTTCAGTCAACGGTTTATTTGTTTTAACTTCTTAAAAACTATAATAATTTTTACCGTCAGATGAAATTTTCAAGATCCGGATCATTTGATCCAATGATCTTGTTGGAAGAGATCTAGATTTCTTCTCATGGCGGGAAAGCCCTAAAACAAAATGGGGTCGAAACGACATCATTAAACAGCGTTTTGACCGAAAGGTCCACCACAAAACAGTGAATCAGCCTTGCTTTTAAAGTGAGTCGAGTCCTGGCGTCAGGTCAGGTGCGTTGCGTACAAGAACAGAAACAAAATGGAAAACGGGACTACAGCCGCCGCCGCGAAGCCTAGAGTAGCGGTGGTGGTGTTTTTGCTGAGAGGCAAAACGGTGCTGTTGGGACGCCGCCGCTCCTCCGTCGGCGACTCTACCTTCGCCCTTCCCGGCGGCCATCTCGAATTCGGTAATTCTCACATGGGTTTTGTCCCCCTTCTTTCCTAATCCCAAATTAATTACTTAATTTCGTTGAATCAGTTCCAATTTTTCGAATTTCCACGGCCGCGTTTTGTAATTTTTGCAGGAGAGAGCTTTGAGGAGTGCGCGGCGAGAGAACTGAAGGAAGAAACTGGGCTGGACATTGAGAAGGAGAAGATGGAGTTGCTGACGGTCACGAACAATTTGTTCTTAGAGCCGCCGAAGCCGTCGCATTACGTGACGGTTTTCATGCGCGGAGTGGCGGCGGACCCAGATCAGGAGCCCCAAAACCTGGAGCCAAACAAGTGCCATGGTTGGGAATGGTACGAGTGGGACAACCTCCCAAATCCCCTCTTTTGGCCTCTGGAGAAAATGGTCAGGACCGGATTTAGTCCTTTTCCTAAAACAGTGGAATAAATGGAGATTCAGCAACCATATGTATTGCTATGTAATTTTACATGCATGATCACGCATGTGTATTATTGTACCTTTTTGAATGCTTATGAATCAGTTAAAATTGAGGGGTTTATTTTGTTTCAAGATGCGGGCTTTACTTTTATGAACCCTTATCTTTATGCTCGTAATCACTTGAGTTGCAAAGCGTTTACAATTTGGTTCGTTTGGATCACAGTTTCTGACTTTGATACAAGTCAAAGTCAGAGTTAGTCAATTATCAAAGAAATTTTGACGCATCATCATGTGGTGTTACTTTTTGATCATGTTCTATATATTGATATTGTATTCAATAATACAAACTTATCGTTGCGGATTAGTAAACCAATTTTTTTTGTTTTTTGGAAAAAGCTGAAATTCATTAAAAGAACAGCCCAAAGAAAACGGTGGGAGGGCCAATCCCTCACCGACAAAGGCCTTAAACAGAAGGCACGCCACATGCAGAAAAAACCTAATCTCCAACAGGGAGAAGCAGCCACCGAACTCTTGCTAGTAACCACTGGGGTGACAGCCATGTAGGAACCAAGACGAAGGGAGGATCCGCAAAGAGTCAAGCACAACTAAAAAAAGCCAAAAAAAAAGAAGGAAAAAGAAAACCCACCTCAACTAAACAAAACCAAGACGAGATTGGTGGTTGTGGTATGCCTGTTGAAAGGGAAGAAGGTGCTCTTAGGACGCCATCGTTCCTCCATTGGTGACTCCAAGTTTTCCCTCCCCAGTGGTCACCTCGAGTTCGGTAAATCATTTTCATATGAATACTTGCACAACGTACCATACCGATACTCTGTCACAAATATTTGCATCTTACCAATTTCACAACACGTGATTTTGTAACAAAAGACATCTCACTAGTATTAGGAATAAATTATTTATTGTATATTGTAGTTATTCTGTCAATTATCCAATATGAAATTCGTCTATTATTCAACATCTATTGCTTCGATGTGGGATTTTCAATTTGTTTTTGGTGTTTGTGCAGGTGAGAGCTTTAAGGAGTGTGCAGCAAGAGAACTGAAGGAAGAAACTGATTTGGACATCAAGAATATAGAGCTGCTGACGCTCACAAACCATGTGTTTCTAGAGGAAGCGAAGCAGTGCCAGTACGTGGCCATTGTCACCAGAGCAGTGTTGGCAGATGAAGATCAAGAGCCTCGTAATATGGAGCCAAACATGTGTGATGGTTGGGATTGGTATGAGTGGAACAATCTCCCTACTTTTGGCCTTTGGAGAGGGCGGTGCATGCCTGATTTAATCATTTCCGTCCATGATTGAATTAGTCAGGCAGATTTAATCTGTTAACAAAAAATAAAAGAACCAATTAATCTATGTACGTGAATAAAGATGGTAGATAGTTCTGCGCCGAATTAGCATTGGTGTGTTATTGTTTTATTTTTTTGGTATATGACAACATAGACAGTTTGTTGCTATTGATTTTTTTTGAAGAAATGGATTTTCGAAGTTACGTTTTTACTTAAAAGAAAATTGTAATTGATTTTATGGGGCTTTGAAAAAAATCCGATGATGATTAGGAAAAACTAAAACAAATTTCATGATCAGAACCCAGTGCTGGTCTTAAGCTTTTTGCGGCCCTGGGGGACACTAAAAATATGCCCTCACATAACTTCACATAAAATATATTTATTTTAGTATTAATAAATATGTACATAAAATATTAAAGAAAATAGACATTTTTCGTGTCAGGGACCTTTTTGGACAAATGATAGATAATCTCTACTGAACTAATTAAAACTACGGGGAGAGGAATTTGAACACGAGACCTTGACTGCAAGGGCAAACACTATAGGACCTTTCAAAAGAATTTTTCATAATTTAAAATCTCTAATTTTTATACGTACGCAATAAATGAAAACGAAAAACTGCTACTACTAAAGGCCACATATATTAATTTAACTTTTGTTTTTTATTTTTTGAGTTCTTATGAAAGGTCACACTTCAAAGTTATAAACATCATAAGGAAAAATTATAGAAGTATAGGATGATATTTTTGGATTGCCGATAACAACACTTTATTTAACAAAAAAATAAAACACCTTAAGTAGGATTTGAACCTAAGACCAATCAGTTAACAATCGACCACTCTACCACTGAGCTACTAAGGAACAACAAACTTAAAGAAGCCGAATCTAGTTCTTGGACCAACCTTTCCTCTGGATTCATCGTCTATTTTGGATTTTATCAATTGCATTGATCTTTCCTTTCTCTTGGTGAATCATATCTCAATCTTTTCTCTTGACAAATAATACAATAAAAAATTAGTGACTCCGCAGAGTCGAAGATAGAGTAAACCTACATCCGCGGAGTCACTAATTTTTTATTGTATTATTTGTCTAATTAGATGTAGGTTTACTCTATCTTCGACTCCGCGGAGCTTTGTCGAAACAGTCATCCTGACAAGTTATACCACTCCACCTAAGAGAATTATCAACAGCAAAGTTCAAGCACACACTTATAAGAGAATTATCGACAAGCCCCTGAATTGGCTTCAATCTTCTTATGGCCTGTGATGTCATTTTATTTTATTTTAAGTAGATTTGAGTTTTCAATTTTAAGAGAATTATCGACCCTTGCTGTTGTTGGTGCAATGCAACTAATCAGGTATGACTCTTAATTTTTTTTCATTTGGATTAGTCAATTTATTGCTATATTTTAGTTCGGTTTGTTCTTCATAGAGTTTGGAAATATATTCATACTATTGGATGGTCTAAGGTGTGTGTGCAAGTCTAGTGCTCTTGGGAATGGAATCTAGAAGAAACAAAGAAACAATAGCTTTTTGGCGTGTCCCAGAACTTTCAAATACATGTTTTACGTTTATATGCCGCAAAGATCTTGATTGTGGATCACTCAATGATTCGACTTTTGGTTGCATAGATTTAAGGTTTCTAATATGATTTTCTGCATCGTTCTCCTTACGCTTGAACTTCTCAACCAAATAGATGGATTTGAGGCAACAAACACAATAAAGTTACTTTAGAAAATGTGGATTTATTGAAATCGAAACATTGACTTCTAAACATTTCGTTTAATTGACAGCCACCTGTGAACACGAAAGTTCCTTGAAACAAGAAACAAGAATACGTGTACAAAATAATATTTTGTTTGATGATTTTGGGGTTACGATCTCTCTCAAATTTGGTCCTCTGATTCTATCTTCGTAGGGTGTAGGTTTGTGGATGAGTGGTTGATCCAAAGGGCCGTCGGGGCTTGATCTAAGGATGAACAGTTGATGAACGGATGAACACTTTCTTCAAGGGCTGTCGGGGCTTGATCTTGAATAATGGTTGTGTGGATTTCTTCAAGGGCTTTTGGGCTTGATCTTGAAGGTTGATGGATGAGTGGATCTTCAAGGGCTTTTGGGCTTAATCTTGAAGAATGGTTGGATGTGTGAATTTGTTGAGGTTGTTGATCCAAAGGGCCGTTGGGGCTTGAGCTTAGGATGAACGGATGAACACTTTCTTCAAGGGCCGTCGAGGCTTGATCTTGAGTTGGTGGAAGTTCTTCAAGGGCCGTTGGGGCTTGATCTTGGGATGAACGGATGAACACTTTCTTCAAGGGCCGTCGGGGCTTGATCTTGAGTTGGTGGAAGTTCTTCAAGGGCCGTTGGGGCTTGATCTTGAAGGAGGATTTGATGAAGAACAAAGAGTGCTTTCTTGATCCTTCGGGATTTTCTTGAGAGCTTTAGAACTCTAAGGCTTCAAGGTTTTGGTGTGTGGAGAAATGTATTTGTGAATTGGTTGATGCTTGATACCTTGATGGAGAAGCCTATTTATAGGCTTTGAGAATGAATCACCACCACAAAATATTTTTTTCTTTTCCAAGCACCATTGCCTAATTTTCCCACTTAATGCAATATTGAAATTGAAGTGGTGTAACTTATTGCCTAATTTCCCACTTAATACCATTTAAAACTTGAAGTGGTGTAATTTATGGCCTAATTTCCCACTTAATACCATTTTAAACTTGAAGTGGTGTAACTTATGGCCTAGTTTCCCACTTAATACCATTTTAAACTTGAAGTGGTGTAACTTATGGCTTAATTTCCCACTTAACACCATTTTAAACTTGAAATGTGTATGCTTTGTCATTGCCCAAATGAGAAAAATTTGCTTTGATCCGTAATGGATTGAAGTATGCTTGCCTTGTCATTGCCCAACATGAGAAGAAAAACTTGTTTTGATCCTCAATGGATTGAAATGTACTTGCCTTGTCATTGCCCAAAATGAGAAGAAAAACTTGTTTAATCCTTCAAGGGTATTTCTCCCTATTTTGTTGAGTCACACGCCACGTGTATAATTTGTACAACACGTGGCGTATGCCATGTATGCCTTGACACGTCAAAACTTTAATGCATTGGTGAACATTTGTTTTACTGAAATTTCGATGTCTACAAATGCCCCCACTTCAAGGCGCGTCGTAGACATGTGCTTGACACGTGTAGAAGATGCGTTTTGAAGTCCCTTAATGTAGATGTCAACCCAAGGGCCGTCGAGGCTTGATCTTGAATTGGGCTGGAAATTTCTTCAAGGGCCATTGAGGCTTGATCTTGAGTTCGACTGGAAGATTTTCTGGTTTCCTCCAATCGTTGATTTTTTCGCAGGCTTACTCTTGAACTGGGTGCAGGATTATTTTGGTCTCCTCCACTCGTTGATTTTCCTTTGTGCTACTCTTGAACTGGGCAGCAGGATTCTTTTGGTCTCCTCCGAAGGTCTGAGCTTACTCCTTTTTTTCTGTTTCTTTGTTCAATCTCTCCAATTCGTATTGAAGAGGGTTAGAGGATAGCTCAGCATATGCAGTTGCAGCTTGTCTCCACATGCTTCAATGTATCATTTTCACTTGCCTTACTTGCTCCCCTTTGCAGAAGTGGTATTTCCTTATGCAGGTTTAGCATCTTCTCTTGTAGTATTTGTTCCTGATGCAGGAGTTGAATGCAAACCTTGCATTTGAATGGACCATCACTTCTTGGTGGCAGCGCAAGTTTGAGTGGAGGTTCCGACATATTGCTTTCTCTGTCCTTGTCTTGGCAGGTGAGAACAAGGGCAAAGGAAAAGATAGGGGAAAAGCATGATATG